CCTGCCTCTGGTCTTGCCTGCCCCTGCAACCCAGTCACTTGATATTCCCAGAACTCTGGTTTGCTGTCTAGAGCACTCTCAGGGCCTTTGATTGCGCTTGCTGATTTGTCTAGTAGAGCACTCTTTTCCCCAACTTTTTCATTCCTGGCACCTTCTCATCCATCAGCTTTCAACTGAGACCTGTCTGGAACCCCATCTAGCTCAAGACTGTCTTTGGCTCCACCCTCCTCAGCATTCGCGACTATCTGTAATTACGTGTCTACATACTGATTTGTTCATCTCCCTGCCTTGCACGGAAGCTCCATAGGAGTGGGGATTTTTTTTTTCTCTACTTTATTACTAGAGCCTGAGACAGCACTTGGTATCTAGTGGAACTCAACAGATACATGAATGAATAAGAAGGAATAAATATCTCCTGGGAGAATCAATACTATCAAATCCCTCAAATCAGATCCCAAATGGACCCAGCTTTCCTGAAGGACAAAAATAACATCCTTCCCTTTGGCGAAATAAACTCATTGTCAGTGTTCTGTGCACAGCATGACTCTTTTCATTCATACTGTCTTTATCAATCCATAGCAGTCCCATTACTGACCACCTTCTTTCTCTGAAAATGACCGAGAGTTCCTTGGCTCAGAAAATTAGAACTTTGCCTTGGAACTGAGCCAAGGTCACAGATTCATACTTGAGGAGCGGGGTGGAGGGCCCTGTCCCTTTCTGGATTGCTCTACCTCTGGCCATAAGCCCTGTCCTTCAGAGGAACAAACACAGGAAGGGAGCAGAAGCCTCCAAGGGCTTGACTCAGTTCCAAGAGTCTAGATGAAGCCGTGGTGCCTGGTCAGTACCAGACCCAAGACAGGGAAGATATACTGGAGGGCCAGTAAAAGGACATGGAATTTGGGAAGAGACGCCTCCATTTCCTACTTTGAAATCAGACAAATACCTGGTTTCAAATCCTGACCCCAATATCTACATTTCTGAAGTCCACGTGGTGCTATTTAATCTCTCTGAGCCTCAATTTCCACAGCTGTCTAAATGCTTTGACAATTTCTATTTTAAGGGCAGTGCTGGAGGGCGGTGCGGTGGGGTGTGTGGGTTGCCCCCAGATGTTATGTCTGGCTGCATCAACCCATCTTTCAATTCCCCATGATAAGCCTATTATTTTTATGAGAAAAAATACAATAGTTATCAATCAAGCTTGGTGACTTGCCACAGAAATCTTGGTTTATCAGACTGTTTTGAGACTGAGCCATACCAGTCTACTTGTATTTACTTAATTCCACTAAATAGCAGGGCCAAACTGACTCCTGAATTTAGCATATGCATGTACATAGCAGTCATTCAATACATATTTTTTATTGAATGAATCAAGGAACAATTCATATAGGTTGTGTCTACACTGACCCTACTAATCAAGCCTAATGAAGAAAAAACTCTTTTTTCACAATCAGTGTTTATACCAGGCACTAATTCACTCATGCTTTTCATACTTGGGACACTTGTGTATTGAGAAAACAGATTTAGACCACTCTAAAGTTAAAGTCGTTGACACTCAAGTTCCCTTCTGATGCAGGCCACGGGAAAACAAGCAGGTAGATGTTAAGCCTCCTTATTTCTTTTAGAGATTCTCTGTCAGCATCCCCAGGGTTTATACTTTGAGAAACCAAAGGTACTTTTTGAAATAGAACACCTCCTCAGAAAAGAAATGAAAAATAAAACTTAAACCATCTTCATTCCATCTGTAGGCTGTCACCAAATTTTGCAAGGATGTTTAGCAGAAGCACTCCTCCTTTAGTCTTGCTCCACAAATACAAAGAAGGAAAAACATTGCCTAAGACTGAGATTTGGCAAAGGGTTGTGATGAAACCCATCAGTTCTGTGCCCAGCATGACGTCCTTGAAGACTTCTGGTGATTGCACGATAAGCTAGCTTTCTGCCCTCCTACCTCAGGCTTCATGTGCAAAATATGGTTTCTTGTGGCTCACATGTGTTCATCTACCAATGAATGCAGCAACATCTCAGGACAAGAAAGGACTCTAACTCCCATCCTTCACAGGCATGCTGTAGTCCAAGAAAACACACCTACTAAAGCAGAGAGGAAAACTAAGGGCTAGCTATTCCCTTTGCAAAAAAAAAAAAGAGTTCAAGGCTCAAAGATCTCTCTCTATCTCTCTCTCTCTCTCTACCCCAACCCTCCTTCTCTCTCCTTTTCTTTCTCTCTTTCTTTCCCACCCCCGCCTCCAGTAGCCATATTTAACAGATGGAAAAACTGAGACCTGGAGAAGTTAAGGAATTTCACCAATTTAACACAGAAGAGGTGGGACCAAGGGTTTCTTTAAAATGTCTTTACAACAGATTTAAGAAAAAGTGCCTAGCACACAATTTGGCATGTGCCCTTAACTGGGAAGAATGTGGAATGCCTGAACAAGAGGCAGAGTTAAAATAAACTTGTTTGCAAAGATGCTGGGTCTAAAGTCAGGAGGTCTAGGTCTTAGTCCCAGTTGAGTCATCAATAAATTGGAGGATGGAGGCAAGTCACTCAACTTCATCTAACCCAAAGACAGAGATTCATTAATGAAAGCAAGCATCACCTACTTCTCAGAGTAACTGGGGAAATCAAACGAATGGGAAAGCTTTTGGAAAATATGAAGGCACATCCAAAAATTATATGTATACATTTAGGAAAATAAGGGGCTCCTGGAAATTTACCTGCATCCATTCTTGCTCAAATGAAATGTATTTCCTCTTACTAATAAAGGGAACAATTGCAATGCAAGAGATTTTTGTGAATCAGGATGAACACACAGCTCTGTCTTGGACTCATGATCCACTTTGTCACAGCCAGCTGTCTTTGGTGTCCTAGCACAGTTACATGGGCAACGTACTCACACCAGCTCTGCAGGGGATCAGACCCTAAGCCTATTATTTCTTGTTTACCAAGAAGGTGCTAGGAGAGCCCAGAATGCTAAACATACTGTGAATAAGCAAAAGGAACCATCAGCCCACAGAAAAACGCATGTGGGTGAATGTGACAAATGTGACAGAGGTGTAGGTTACCTTCCTACTTACTTCCAGGGGCTTCTGGGTTTGGATAAGCTCTTCTAGCACCCTTGCCTGAGGATAGCAGTTTAAAGTCTTCAACAACTCACCACCCCTCTAGAAAGTGCAAAAAAGGAAAACCAAGACAAATCCTAATTCCACACTGGAAGGAGTTATCTGTCCCTTCTTCAGTGTCCCTAGTTTCCCAGTTACCCGCTGAAGAGTGGAACCTTCAAGGGTTCTACAGGGGCAATCAAACAATCAAAGGAAACATAGGACCTAATAAGTGCTGCACGGCTCCCCCAACCTTGCCAGAAAAACCAGCACAGGGAAAAGTATTTTCCAGAGCAAACTATGGGGGAGAGCTGATGCCACACATAGTATGGTGGAGCTCAAACTTTGTGTGCAGCAGAACCACGCAGAGGGCATGCAAGAATACAGAAATCCACAGCTTCTGAGTCAGTGGCTGATGTTGATGTTGGTCCAAGGACCATACTGGAAAAATAGCTGTCACAGTAAATGTGCAAGGGTGCCTAGGTAGTGATTCCCACTGGGGTAACTTCGGATACCAATTCATCTCTTTCTCCCCCCAAATTGAGCCTTAATAAAACTCATGATAGGAATTAAATGGCTGTCCTTCCCTGGATTGCCCACCCCTCCCCTTCCCTTATGTCCTTGGTGCTCTCAATGAACCATGATCAAGCCATCCCTGATAAATACCTCACGGGGCTGGGTCTAGTTCTTATCTGTACACATGCTGATTTTGTAAAAGGACTGAGTTATGGTGCAAAACAGGACACAGCAGTGCAGAAAGAGCACTTAGGGGCTCTTGGGTCCAGTTCTCCAACCCAGGGCACAATCCCTCAGTAATGAGAGTGTGCTACCAGGACATACGAGAGAAATGTTTTGATCTGGTTTTCTCCTCACTTATTACCCTGATGGTCTGCACAACTCACAGTGATTATCTGCCATGAGTTTACTTCATGTCACCAAACTACCACCTGCCAGCCCCATCAACAAGCCAATACAGAGAAAAGAAGCAAGAGGCTACAAACATTACACACCTCTGGTGGGTGGCAGGGTCAAATCCCTCCAGGCCAGTATCAGAGGCTTTCTGACCTAGAGGAACTGTTAAAAATACTCGTTTTCTTCCCAAAGCTGACTGCATTATATAAACCTATTTTACTAACTGGAAGACTTACTGTTACAATAATATTGTTTTTGTTTTATGGAGACTTAACAGAAGTTCCTACAGAGATCAATGTCAGGAAAATGTAAACACTGAAAAGAGGCTATCCTACAATTCTCTTCCCCAAAGGTTCAAACGGGAAAATCTGACCAATATTCACCACACATCAGTTTGGCTATGAGACGAGAGAGGGAACATACATTTGGGGCTGCAATTGTGGGCCCGAAAACCAACTTCAGGCTAAATAAGAAAAAAGAATGAAGAGAGATTCATTCACAGCATTTTGGTAAATATACAATACAAGTGTTTTCAAATACCTGATCTTTAAGATGATTTTGTGCACACAGACATATTTAATGGAACAAATGTGACTTTCCCTCCCTTAAAAACAATCCAATTAGCTCTTTCTCACATGTAAAACTGTACAATAGTTCCTAGGTTCTGAGTGCCTGATCTTGGTATATCCCACCAAGTCCAGTGAGTCAAACAACAGACTCCAAAGCAATAACACCAACATAATCGCCACTTAGCCCAAATTATGAACTGATCTCAGATATGCCACATTCAAGACCAAGGCCATGAGCAGAAGGAGATTCTGGAGCAGAAGGAGAGCTCAGTCACAGGAGACAATATTGGCTATAGTCTCAAGAACACTTAGCAAATAGTGTTGGCCCTTCCCTACCTTCCAAAAAGTCCACTCATCTGCATGCACAGATGAGGACATGCAAGAGCTGTTTTGACACCGAACACCCTTGGTGGTTCCTGTCCTCACCTGTTTTCCAGAAGCGTCATGCACACCACCTCTCGAACTCCAGGGTTGTTGGCCTTCTCCACCGAGCAGCCCTGCAAGTTCCAAGTAGCCAGCCTTAACACAGGTCTCCCATCCCTCGTGCCTCCAAAGGCCTCCACAGAAGGCCTAGTGGAGATAATCTGTGTGGGCCCCCCTGGTGGCAGGTCCAGATCTTCACTTTGCAGACTGAGGGAGGTGGGACTGGGGTGAGGCTTGGCAGTGAAAGTCAGACCCCCATTGGTGTGAGTGGATGGAGGTCTGGACCTCTCAGCAAACACCTGGTGCCTTATCCGGTCCAAGAATGCAGCGTTGATACCACCCATCCTCACCAGGTCCTCAACGCTGCGGAAGGGCCCATGCTCACGGCGATAGTCCACGATGCTGACTGCCATCTTCTCTGTGAGACCTCGCACGCTCATGAGCTGGGCCGGTGTGGCAGTGTTGATGTTGACACGAGGGGTGAGAGGTACAGAGGTGGCCAAGTGGTGAGGTTGCTGCTCTGCCAGCAGGTCCCTTCGCAGCGAGCTGGGAGAGTGTTGTGCTGAGCTTCCCTTACTGCTCACACAGATCTCAAACTTGACCTGCTCCAGTTTGGTGGCACCCACACCACTTACAAGTGCCAGGTCTTCTACTTTCTTGAAGCCACCGATGTATTCGCGGTACTCCACGATGCTGCGCGCCACTGCACGTGTTACCCCGGGCAGGGTCATCAATTCCTCTTCTGTGGCTGTGTTGATGTTGAGGCGCTCCTGATTCACTAGAATGTTGCTGAAGTTGCAGGCTGCACTGAATTTGCGGCTGTGGGACAGGTCCGAGGGGTCCCTGGGGATAGAGCGGTGGCAGCCCAGGGTGCTCCCCATGGCTGGTCAGGATCAGGCCCCCAGAAAGGCCTCACTACCACAGAAGAACTCTCTGGATAGGGATTCAACTCAGGAGACCTTAGAGGGACAGAATGGAAGGTGCTTGATTCAGGCGGAGAACCAGTTCTCAGACAAACGCTAACTCTCCATGGCCAGAGCGTCCAAAAGAACCTTTCATTTGGTCACCTAGAAAACAAATTAATAAGCACATAAGTTGATTGAATTAATCAGTTTGCATTAATTAGCCTTCCCTACCTAGACAGAACTGGAATTCTAAACAAGAAGCCCCAGGCTAGTGGCTATCCAGGAACCTCTGAACAAATACACAAAATTAGGCTGGCCCATGTGCATTTTCCTCTGGAGAGATCAGGGGTGTGCTTTCTGTTTGTTTTTGTTCTAATATCACATTGCAGTCCAAAGGCTACCAATCCCTTCTCTTGGGAAGCGACTGATCCTCATCAGCAGATACCGTCACCTCTCAACTCTGGCGACTCTGGGACTCTCTCTCCTCTTTGGTCGCTCCCACCTGGGCTCTAGCAGAAGGCAGGGCTCATCCCTTACGGCTGCCCGCGTCTGACAGTCAGGGCCACGTCAACTTGGGAATCCTGTCCTCACTAGTACTGACTCGGAGACGGGCTTCCCAGACCCCCCACCCGACCCACCGCCAGTGCCTGCGCCCTTCGGCCGCTTCCCGGGGACGTCCTTCTTCCACCTGCAGCTCCCAAGCCCGCGTCCAGCCGGGACAGCGGGGGGCCCGTACCTCCAGCTGGGGTGCCCGCGCGGCTGCCAGTCAGGGGCCGGGGCCCAGGATCCCTTGCACGCCGCCTCGGGCCCCGCGTCCCAGTTCTGTCTGCGGGAGAAACTCTCAGAGTCGCTCTCCCGGAGCGGGCGGGAGCTACAGAGCTGCTCAGAGGCGGAGCGGCCGCTGAATCTGGGAGCCGCGACCGCACCAAGGCTAGCGACCGCACCAGGACTTGCGGCGTCGCCGCAGTCGCGTTAATCCAGGAAAAAGTCCTGCGCCCCGCTCAGACGTCGGGATCCGCCAGAATCGCGGCCAATGCCCAGCACCAGCTCCACCGCTCCCGCTCGCCGCCAGTGTCACAGTCGGAGTCCCGGCCGCGCCGCCCCCGCCGCCCGCGCCTCCTCGGGCACCTCGGCCACGCCTCCTCCCGCGCGTGACTCCGCCCCTGGGCGCCCGCGGGCCTGTGGGCGGGGCCTGGGCGTGAGGCGAGGGGACCCGGAGGGGGCGGGGCCCTGAGTGCGAGGGGCGGGGCCATAGTGGGAGGGGCGGGACCTTGAGGGGGAGAGGTAGAGCCCGGACGCTCAGGGGTGGAGTGCGGAGCCGGCGCGTGAGAGGGGGAGGATCCTGCTGCGCGGGCCCGGCCGGAGCTCCTGGGGGAGGAGATGGAACTCCCGAGCGCGGAGGCGGATCGTCGCGGGCAGAGGCGGGCCTGGGAGCGCAGGCGGGACTTAGGGGCTGAAGGGGCGGGGTCAACGCCAAGGCTGCAGTCACCCCGAGGGGGGTTCCTCGGGTCTGCTGCTCCTTAACCGAGGTTACGACCCAGCACTGAAGGCTGGTTGCATGCACTGAAGGCTGGTTGCATGCATATAGGCATCTGAGGAACCACTTGCCCGAGGGGCTCTCAGGGGCTCGAACACTATGTCACTGCCAGCCCCAGTTAGTCCGATTGGGGGGCTTAAGGCCAGGACCAGTTTACTCCTACTGGGAGGCATCCTTGTGGATCAGAGGCCTTGTTCAGTTCCGCAGTCAATTTTATCTGAGACATTCCAGTGCGGACTGAAAGAGGTCTTTTTTACTGCCACCCCCTACTTTAGGCCTCCTCTTTTCTTCTGCTGGAGTATACCTTTGCTCTGCTCACAGAGAGGTATCTTCAAAAGACTCTAGTAATTCATTGGAGGGGTGCACACCTCCAGTTATCTAGAGATACATTCATGTGGGTCATTTATAAGGTTGTGCTCTAAGCAAATAGGATATGTTTCTATAAATTTTAATTCTAATCATAAAAAGAAAGGAAATGTTACTTGAAATGGAGGCTGCTTCCCAAAATTCAGAACAGTTTTTGGATCAGACAACTAAATGACAATTTAGTTAAAGATTATAGAACCCGCTGCATTACAGTGGATTCACAAAACTAGAGTACTCGATTAAACAAACTATGTGGTGATTGTGTTGAATACTTTGACCCTGGGTGAAGGACCCAGAGGACCTTTAGTGTCCTCTGAAGTTTCATCCTCAGTCTATGTGACCAGTGCTCTGTTTGAAATTTCCAACGCTAGATCCCAGGAACTGTCAGGGAAGACAGAAGGAACTTCAGATATGAAAAGAGAAGCAGTTAGACTTGGCAGAATGCTATTGTCTTTCTGAGACACATTCCCCTACTGTCTATATTCACCAGGACTCTTAAACACAAGTGACAGAAATCTGAGTCAAACTAGCTTTGTTTTTTTTTTTTTTTAATTAATTAATTATTTTTTTTAATAGAGGCATGTTTATTTATTTATTTGTTTGTTTGTTTGTTTTTGTTTATACATGCACTGGGTACAGTCAGAAGCACAGGAGGGTGAGAGAATTCACCAGAGCCAGAGCGGGGAGCAGAGCAGGCAGAAGGACTGAAGTACACTGCTGAGGGGAGCAGCGGGCGGCAGGAGAGGTCTGCGCGCCATGTGGGACCCTCCTCTGGTGGCCGGGGAGCAGCCGGGGATCGAACCGGCGCCGCAGAGGCCGCGGGCAGCTTCGCAACCCAGCGCTCAACCGCTGCGCCACTGGGGAGGCCCTTGTTGTTTTTTTTTTTTTAAGATTAATTTATTTTATTTATACAAGCACTCGGTACAGTCAGAAGCACAGGAGGGTGAGAGAATTCACCAGAGCCAGAGAGGGGGAACAGAACAGGCAGACTGACGAAATACACTGCTGAGGGGAGCAGCGGGCGAGGCAGGAGAGGTCTGTCGTGCCATGTGGAAACCCTCGCCGGTGGCCCGGGATCGAACTGGCACTGCAGAGACTGCAGGCAGCTTTGTAGCCCAGTGCTCAACCACTGCGCCACCAGGGGAGGCCCTGAGTCAAACTAGTTTATACCAAAAGGGAGGGTCCTGGGTTCTTGTCTAGAAAAGTTAGGGAATATTTCTTAAAGCCATAAGCATGACTGCATCCAGCTCAAATGGTGGTGTCAAAACTTGGTGTGACCCCTTCCACCTTTCTCCTCCACTTAACCCACATACCAGCAATAGGCTACATTTTGTCACTCCTTTCCTTCTATAATACTGCTTTAGCCAGGGGAAAAAATATTTAAGATAAGCAGGAAAATTGCTTTTAGAGGATGTAAAAGTCTGTTGAGAAAAGGCGTTTGATGGGCCTTTGAAGCTGTAGAAGGACAGCCTGGGGCCATGGCAAATTGAACTAGAAGTAGAGAAACCATTTATTTTATTATCCAAACTTTAAAGGGTAAGGGAGGACACTATTAACTTCATTGGCACAACAGGTGAAATCCAATTTTACTCCCTGTAAACCTAAGCATATGTTCCCCCCTTGGTAGCTATGAAGCCAAGAGTTAGCTAAATGCAGTGCAGTAAGGAGATAGCCAGAAGGAGATAGCCAAATTTGGGACTGACCCTCCCAAATGTTGGTAAAGATATGGAGTAATGAAACTTTCAAATATTACTTGGTGGGAGTGTTAGATGGTATACCCACTTTGAAAATCAGATTGACAGTTTCTTCAAAAGTTAAACATGTCTCTACCATACCACCCAAATATTTCACTCAAGCATGAAACCTGAAAACTTGCAGTGAATGTTTATAGGAGTTTCATCTGTTAAATCCAAAACCCAGAAACAGCCAAAATCCAACAGCAGATGAATAAACAAATGGTGGTATATACATATTGACATAATACTCAGCAATAAAGACAAACTATTAATACACACAAGAATGCCGAACAATCTCAAAATTATATTAAAAGAAGTTAGGCAAAAAAGAGAGGGAGAACATATTGTATGATTTCATTTTATTTTTTAAAAAATTAAAAAATATGAACTAATCTATATAGAAAGAAAGCAGATATTTATTTGCCTGGGGATGGGGTTGAGAGAGAATTGGATTTAAAAGGAAACAAGGAAACTTTGAAAGGTGATGGGAATGTTTGAGAGGTCATTCCATCATGTATTCACTGATATAATACACACTTTAAATACCTATAGTTTAGTGGACTTTAATTATAGCTCAATAAAGTTGGGGCATAATCTTCATAAAATAAAAAAAAAAAAAGAATGCTCTTTGTACTTAAAAAAAAATAGAATTATTGGTGGGTGGGAGAGGAGAAAGTAAAAGAGGAGAAGGAGGAAGAAAGGGACCCATGAAGAAGTTGAGTCTGGAGCTCGTGGAAGAGTAGACCAGTGCACATTTCACAGTTAGGGCTGGGGCCTCAAAAGGAGGGAGTACTGTCACAGGGTAACCCCAGAGGAAACAGGGGTGACCCAGGTTGTGAGTCCTTACGTGCATATTTAACTTGGGATGAGACTCAAAAGTAGACACACAGAGGGAAATTTTTTTAAAAAGGTTTATTTACAAGGGGAATGAGAAAAAGGAAAGCAAACAGAGAGAGAGGATTGACAGGTCAGCATGTGGCTGGATGTTGTCTGTCCTACTACAGCACCATGTGAACTGAGACCAGAGTATAAGCCAAAGGCAGAAAGCAAAAGAACAAAACCATGCATGTGTTCAATCTTTTAAACCCAATATGACCCCTTAGCTCTGCTCCTAGCTCCCAGCAACTTCCCCTTTAGGAAGTCAGGTTCATGGCATACTGGCACTTAAAATCCTCAGCTCCTGAGATCTCACTGGTATGGAGAAGGGATGGATTCCTTTCAAGATGCCATTCACTGGCTCAGCATTTGCACCTTCCTGTTCCTCTAAAAGCACTAGAAAGCTTTAAAATTAATGATACCCATCAGTCTATTTTACCCACTACTGTACTATTCTTTGATATAACCTCTTGACAAGGAATATCTATTGAGATTGGGAATGTGACTCAGAATCCATTACACAGGATTTGAGCCAGTGTCATCTCACTAAGGAAGGACAGGAAGTTAGAGCCCAGTTGACATTTGATTTACATGAGTATGTCAAAGATCAAGGGGTCATATCACTCCAGTTGTGCTGCAACTGGAGCCACTACTACTTGCAAACAGAGTTCTCACCTGAGGTTCTGCCAGAGAGTTCGAGGTCATTGGCCTTTTGCTTCTTAGCAGTTTCAAAAGTGAAGGATGATTCCAGGGATGGAAAAGGTGGTGGAAGGTAAGATGTAAAAGCAGTTTTCAATTTCAACACCCACAGTGTTGGCCCTGGATATACCTCGACAAGATACAAGATTCCCAGAACTGATAGGCCAGCAGGAATGCAGACATTGGAATCAGTAAGAACAATGTATATTAGATGAGAGAGGAAGCCCTATGACTATGAATTAAAGTAACAATCTAGGGGACTTCCTTGGGAAGTGAGGGTAAGGATGTGATTTGAAAGAGGAGTAGGGAATGAGGCCCCAACACTGAAACCCTCAGTCCCAGCAGAGCTGCCCCTATTTCTTCAGTCAGTGATGTCCAGCCAGGCTACTGAAAGCTAACCTTGTATATTAGCCAAGCTGGATGCTGCCCTGAATATTGACCTCACTAGTAGATTTGTTGCTTTCTACCAAAGTAGAAACATTTGTGTTCCCCAAATGATGCAAGCATTGACAGTATACTTAAACAATCTACACTGGACCTGCCTCCCTGGGAGTTGTGTATGGGAGAGCAGGAAGTATCCACATAGACAGTGATAGTGGACAAATTCCAGCCTCCTGGATACAGACACTCAGCCATGAATCCCACCACCAGAAGTGGTTCTTGTGCATTTCCCTAAAGGAGTATTCTTCCCAACAGCTGGATGTGTAGATGGTTACATAGGTGGCCGCCAGGACTCTAGTCCCTATCTGATCCTTCCTACATTGACTCTGGACTTGGCCATATGACTTATTTTGGCCAATGGAGCATATCAAGAGTGAGACAAGCAGGAATTTGATAAGCACTTGCCTACTGGCTTTTGTCTTG